ATATTTAAAGTACCTGTTTTTTGTTCCAACTTCTACACATGTATAGACATTTCGTAATCTCCATAATAGATTTGTGATATCTTGAATAGTTTCTATTTTTCCACCTAAAGCATCGATCTCTCTCTCTCCAATATAAACCTGAAATTATAAAATGTATGTGAAAATTACTGCATAAACATTTTTCGTTAACTTTTGGCTACGCAACTAAATTAATAATTATGAATTTATATTATTACTTACAATTGCTCTCATGTCATTCTTGTTAATATTAACACGTTGAGCACATATTGCTCGAGACTTGTCACCATCCTTATATAAGGTTAGCATTACCCACGTACTTGCAATAATTGAGTGCCACACTCCGAAAAGAGGAGACCCATTTTCCAGTTCCTTCTGAATAACGATCCAGGTCTCAGTTTCCAAATGGGACTCGTTTGAATTATTAGATTGTGGCCTTTTGCATTCTTGTATTTGGTATGATGCATTTGAGTTTTCCGATTCTGGTTTGTTGTCATATATTCCAAGTGAGTCGATTGAGTTTTCAGAGGCAGTCTTCTTGTCATTAATATTATTGGATGAAATATCTACAGTGGGCTTGAAAACATGATAGTACGACAGTTTTTCTTCTGTTTGTTTCGGAACAGGTGGAGGAAAAATACATGGAACAGCGTTTTTACGCAAGTGTTTCCTATTTCGTGTCACAGTTACTGTTGGGCCGCCAATAACATTGAATACATCTTCCTTAATGACATCTTCATTTTTAAAATGTAATTCACAAATGTAGGAGTCCTTGGTAAATTCTTTGGTGCCTTTGTCTGCTATTCCATTCTTCTTCCAAGCATCAAACATTTCGTCCTGTAAATTACAAAGACCATTAATTATGTTTTGTTAATATATTAATTTCAGTTTTACTGCAACTTTGAATCAGGCCAGATTTAATTTCAATTATTATTATTAATTACTAGTAATTCATTTTTCAATTTATAACTTTCTCGATATGAATTGAAAGATAAGCGAGGGTTATGTATAATGACAGGTT